TAGCTCATTTAATTCTCAAAACAACCTGAAAGATGGAGATATAGACAGACATACATATGTATATATGTGTATATTATAAATAAATATATATTATAAATAATGTATAATTATATATTATATATAACCCCATTTGTGATTATTATAATCTTATATAATTATATATACACATTTATTATAAATACATAATTATATGTTATATATATTTTTTAATATATATATAAAAAATTCCCATTTTTTTGATGAGCAACTGAGTCTGCAAGAGGTATGTGACTTGCTCCAAGTGACACAGTTAAGTGACAAAGCCAGGACCGAGCCCCGGAAAATCTGGCTCACATCCTCGACCGTGGTTCTAGATGTGATCTTCTGTCACTGATCCCAGACTGTACGTCACCTCTAGTGCATGCCAGGCACTGCCCCTGGCAGACCCTTTCCACCCTTCCTGCCTTGCTGTCTCAGTGGACCCTGCAGTGGGTGTGTCAGCGGGACAGGTTCACAGAACGCCTCCTTGGCAGGATCTCAAAGAGCCTCTCCTCATTTCTCTCTTCCACCAACGTGTCCCTCTCCCTGCCCTTGTAGCTGGGGTCTCCTGTGTGCCTGGGCCTTTTTGTCTCCTTCCTATTTACTTTGCCTGGCAACTACTGTAACTATTCTTACCTGGCTCTGACCCACACAAACCTAGACCAATCCCCCTATTACCCTCTCCGCCTCCTAAAGAGTAGGGTGCCCAGCTGGACCATAACCCAGCTGCCTCGGGCCAGGGTCGAGGGGCATCCACTTGGCTCTTCCTTCACTGGGAACGCCAGACCAGGAATGGCCCCCCTTTCCTTAAGGAGGAATGGTTTCTCTGAGCAGAAATGGTACGTGTTCCGCAGGCACTAACCATCTTCAGTGGTTGTGGTTTAAAACTCAGAATAAGAAAGCCACCTTCAAAGAAGGCATGCCACACATTTCCTGTTTAGGAGCTCAGGCTAGACTAGATGAGTGGCTCACACCTGTAGTCCCAACACTGGGAAGCTGAGGCGAGTGGACGGCCTTCAGCCCAGGAGTTTGAAACCAGCCTGGGTAACACAGTAAAACCCCATCTCTACCAAAAAAAAAAAAAAAATAGCTGGGTGTGGTGGCACTCACCTGACTCACCTGTACTCCCAACTACTCAGGAAGCTGAGGTGGGAGGATCACTTGAGTCCAGGAGACTGAGGCTGCAGTGAGCCATGATCATACTACTGCACTATGGCCTGGGCAACAGAGTGAGACTGTGTCTCAAAAAAAAAAAAAGAGCTCGGCCTTAATCGGGCATCAGATTTAGTTCTTGCTTAATGGCCCAGAGCAGCATAAAGCATGAAGCATGACAGAGATGTCAAAAGCAGGCCTGGCAGAGTCATCCTCCCGGGCGCCTATGGGACATCCTTCACCCTGGCCAGGCCTCAAATTCAGTTCCAGGTCTTGACCACCACCAAAGCCCTGCAGTCAGCCAAAGGTTCCTGCCAGCCAGTTTTGTTCAGATATCTACTTTTTTCTCCCCCTAAACGACCCCCCAAAAATAAACAGACTGACTCTTCAGTTAAGGAGGGACATCAGTCCACTGCAAGGCCCCGACGCCAAGGGCTAATTTTAGGAAAGGAGGGAAACACATATCACAATATGTGATATGTGTGATATGTGCCCCAGACCAAACACCCCTGGGACAGGAGTGTGAACAGCGCCTAGAACCACCCGACCCTGGAGGTTCACCTCTGTGCGGCCTTTGGCCATCCATCCGGAGCCGCCCTGATTCTCCACAGGGAGAGCAGGGAATTACAGTTCCCGTCCCTGCTGGGCGGAACCAGATAACATCTTAAAGGCCCTTCCTACTGGGACTCACTCCATCCTGGTAATATCTGCCATTGAATAAACACCATGGCCAGCCATGGAGATGCGTGATCATACTCAGGCACCCCAGCAACCCAGCCAGACTGTTCTTATGAACACCCTTTTCAGAAATGGGGACAGTCACGTGCCAAGATGCCAAAGAGGGGTGGGGGAAGAGAAAGGGTTTGGGTCCAGGTCTGTCTAACTGAAAGGCTGCCTCTGGCACTTCCCCAGCTCACGAAGCCTGCTGCCTCTTGACAGGAAGTCAAAGGCACAGGCAGATGGGGCTCTGGTGGAGCCCTGCCCAGAAAATGGCCACTTCCGGAACAAAACTGCCACAGCAACAGGCCTCGTCAACAGCAGCCTCCAACCGTTAACCACAGGGCCGTCTCACCTCTAGAAATCAGCTCCCTCTTGTCCACGCATCCCTACACACAAACACTAACTCCATCACCCAGGAGACCGCGGAACAAAGGCAACGAGAGAGAGGGACAGAATGGGGCATAAATAAGGTGCTGGACGGGCAGACAGGAAAGAAACACTTCAAGGCAGAGCACACCAGGATGTATTAGAAAGGAATATTTGACATGCAGGCTTTTAGATGAAGCCTACACTCCTTATGTGGGGAGTATACACAAATGAGTCTGTATTTTCAAATACGTCACATGCACCGCCTTGTAACCCAAAACAGTATTTGTGCTTCAGGGGCTGCACTGCGCTGTTTTATACACAGAATCACCTGGCACAGCTCCTGTCCCTGAGATGCAAATTACTGTTCTCATGTGGCAGGGAAGGGGTCGAGAGGAGGCGAGGGGGAGGGGAGCAAGTGTGCTCTGCAGGCCACACTCAGGCACTGACATCGCCGGGCATGATAGGCGCCGCCAGCACTGTTGCTTAGCAACCCAATACCCTTCGAGAAAATCCAGCAGCCTCACTGGCTTGCAGAAGCAGGCAGAGCTGGTTCAGCATGGCACTGGGCATGGAAAGATAATCATAGGGGTTTTTTTCCAGTTATTAATAATCATTCTTCCTGATTTCCCATACAGATCACCATACCTGAGGGGACCCAAAGTCACCCACTACACTGGGGCTGGAAAAAGCCCAGGGTTTTTCAATTGCCTCCCAATCGGCTTCGGAGAGTAGTGGAATTTTACTGGCTGGCCCCATGACGCTCCTTCCAGCCCCGGCCCTCACCACAACACAAAGGCAGAGCTCCACGGTGTGACTCACCAGCATACCTTCAGACCGTTGTTTGTCAGCCCATGTCATGAGTCATGGTTTCTTCAGCTTTCTTTTTTCTCAAGACTGAAACACTTGACATTTTAGAATAGGGTTGGGGGGAGGCTTTTCATTTTTTTTTTTGAGCCACTCTGTGGCTTTGTGTGCAAGTGTAGGGGAATGTGGGAAGAGGTGAGTAATGGATGCAAGAACAGGTAAACATGAGCAAGGTTCTCCATGCTGTCAGCCACCTGGGAAGCCATCAGAGCTCGAGGAAGTTGTCATTTGTGTCGTGGAGGAATGGGAATGCTCCTGGGCTATATATCTTGGGAGAGACAAGGTGCTGGACAGCTTTCCGCCCTCCATCTGTTGCATCCCAGCAGTGTCATGCTCCCTCTATTCCCACACACAAAGAGGTCGGCTTCATTTTGTGCCGCGTGATAACAGCACCACGTAAGGCTTTAAGAAAAATCCTGCAGGAGTTACAAGAAACAAAATACACTGCGATGTAAGATGAGAAAACAGAAGTGGACTTGCCACACGGAAACTGTGCTGGGCCAGACGGTTGGTTGGTGGGTCCCTGGCTTTGGATTCTGATTCTGACATAAATCGGGTGGGTGATGAGCTTCTGCTTATTTGCATGGCTCAGCACAACTTTCCTCCTCTCCATGAAGCCCTCAACCTCCAAATTTATCCACTTAGACAGCACAGTCTTTCCCCTAGAGTGTGAACCCCTCAAAGTCGGCATCATTTTATAAATCTCTTTATGGTATCAACCGAGCGTATATCAAATACATACTAGATGTTCACTCATGCTTCCCGTCTGTATGGAGAGATGGAGAAACGAAAATTAACTAACTAAATCCAATTCACGTTTTGGAATCCTTATTTGTTCCCATGCTTTACAGGATAGATTCAATATACCCTGTCAAGTCCCAGGAAAGTAGTGAAGACGTAGGAATGGATACAACAGAAAACATTTTGAATGTTACACAATTCGAAATGCCATGATGTTATAAAGCATTCTTAGAAAAGGTAATAGTTGACCGGGCATGGTGGCTCACTCCTATAATCCCAGCACTTTGGGAGGCCGAGGTGGGGGGGATCACCTGAGGTCATGAATTCGAGACCAGCCTGGCCAAAAGGGTGAAACTCCATCTCTACTAAAAATACAAAAATTCCCCGGGCGTGGTGGCAGGCACCTGTAATCCCAGCTACACGGGAGGCTGAGGCAGAAGAATTGCTTGAACCTGGGAGGTGGAGGTTGCAGTGAGCTGAGATCGCGCCACTGTACTCCAGCCTAGGTGACAGAGTGAAACTCTGTCTCAAAAAATTTAAAAAGAAAGAAAGAAAGAAAAGGTAATAACTATCAGAAGCCTCCCCACAGTCAGGGATGAGGACCAATTCTATACATAGGTAAATTAGGGAAGGGGAAAGTTAGAACTAATACAAAATACTTCCCCTGTCAGATTGAGGTAGTGTCTGAAATTTCCACAATATTTGCTTCTTTAGATTAAGATATTGAAGACCCATGTCAAAATATAAATGTTCTCTAGCCACAGCAATGTATTAATCCATTATTAACCTCAAGTGCATTTGCTGAATTTATTAAATCCGCTCCCAGAGTGTAAGAGACCTAGGGATTGAGACTTGAAGCACGTAATTATGTTTTTACTTTTTATTATGGAAATGTCCAAACGTGTACAAAACTTGAAGTAATAGTATAATCAAGCCCTATGTGCTCATCAGCTAGCTTCAACAATTATCATCCTATCATCAACCCTGTCTTATCTACTTCCCCCAAAACACACACACTGGATTATTTTGAAACAAATCCAAAACTTCACAGCATTTCATTCATACATATTGCAGTATATAACTCTAAAATATAAAGACTGACTTTTTTTTTTTTTTTTTTTGGAGACAGGACTCACTATATTGTTCAGGCTGGTCTCAAAGTCCTGATCTCAAGCAATCCTCCCATGTAGCTGGAATTACAGTCCTGAGCCACCGCACCAAGCTAAAAACATCAAGACTTTTAAAAAACATAACCACAATACCAGTATCACACCTGAAAAAAAAAAGTTTCTTTATTTTTTTTCTTTACTTTTATTTTTATTTTTTATTTTTTTTCGAGACAGAGTCTCGCTCTGTTGCCCAGGCTAAAGTGCAATGGCACGATCTTGGCTCACTGCAACCTCCACCTCCCGGGTTCCAGCAATTCTCCTGCCTCAGCCTCCCAAATAGCTGGAACTACAGGCATGCGCCAACGTGCCCAGCTAATTTTTGTTATTTTTAGTAGAGACGGGATTTCACCCTGTTGGCCAGGCTGGTCTCAAACTCCCGACCTCAGGCGATCCAAAGTGCTGGGATTACAGGCGTGAGCCACCACACCCGGCCAACAGTTTCTTAATATCAGCAAATATCTGGTCAGTAGTCAATATTCAAATATCCCTGTTAAAACAGTTCAGGGGTTGTTTTTAAATTAATGAATTTGAATTATTAGAGCAGTTTTAGGTTCACAGCAAAATTGAGCAGAAAGTACTCTTCCCATATGCCCCCTGCACCCAGACACGCACCACCTCCCCCACCACCAGAGGACAACCTTTGTCACAATCAATGAACCTACACTGACACATCATTATCACCCAGCGTCTGTAGTTTACATTGGAGTTCATTCTTGGTGTTGTATACCCTATGGTTTGGACAAATGTATCATGATATGGATCCACCATTACAGAACCATACAGAATAGTTTGATGACCCCCCAAATTCTCCATGCTCTGCCTGTTGATCTTGCCCTCCCTCCAACCCCTGTCAACCACTGATCTCCATCGTTTTGCCTTTTCCAAAATGCCATATAGTTGAAATCATACATAACCTTTTCAGACTGATTTCTTTCACTTTGTAATCAGCATTTACATTTCCTTCATGTCTTTTCATGGCTTGACAGTTCATTTCCTTTTAGTACTGAATAATATTCCACTGTCTGGATGTACCACAGTGTGTTTATCCATTCGCCTACTGGAGGACATCTTTGTTGCTTCCAAGTTTTGACAACTATGAGTAAAGCAGTTATAAAATCTTGTGTAGGTTTCTGTGTGGATATGTTTTCAACTCATTTGGGTAAATACCAAGGAGTATAATTGCTGGATCATGTGGTAAGAGTATGTTAGTTTTGTAAGAAACTGCCAAAGTGTCTTCCAAAGTGTCTGTATCATTTTGCATTCTCAGCAGCAAAGAATGAGAGTTCTTGTTCCACTTCCTCGTCAGCATTTGGTGTTGTCAGTGTTTGAATTTTGGCCTTTGTGACAGGTATGTAGCTGTATCTTTTGTCATTTTTATTTGCAATTCCCTAACAATAAATGATGTTGAACATCTTTTCATATGCTTATTTGCTATCCATGTATCTTCTTTGGTGAGGTGTCTGTTCAAATCTTTTGCCCATTTTTAAATTGAACTGCTCATTTTCACTTTTTCTCTTTTTTTTTTTTTCCTGAGACAGGGTCTTGCTCTATTGCCCAGGCTGGAGTGCAGTGGTGTGATGTCAGCTCATTGCAGTCTCCACCTCCTGGGCTCAAACAATTCTCCCACCTCAGCCTCCTGAGTAGCTGGGACTACAGGTGCACACCACCATGATTTGGAGTTTTTTTGTTTGTTTGTTTATTTGTTTGGTAGAGATGGGGTTTCGCCACATTGCCTAGGCTGGTCTCAAATGCCTGGACTCAAGTGATCCACCTGCCTCGGCCTCCCAATGTGATGGGATTACAGGTGTAAGCCACTGCGCCTGGCCTGGACTGTTCCTTTTCTTATTGTTGAGTTTTAACAGTACAGTTCTGAGGTTAAAGTGGTCAGATTCAGAACATGGCCAGAGCTGGTCCTAAGAGTATGCCCAAGGAAAGACAGGATGCGAATTTCACCTGTTTCACTGTTTTGCTTTCTGTTTCACAGTTGTTGAGAGCAGTCCATGCATGAGGTAGGACATAGATGTGGAATTCAAAACATGAATTTATCTTCCTATCAGCCAATGACGCACAACAGCTTCCCCTAGTTGTTATAGAATAACAAAGAGCTGGGTTTTCTTAACCTGGCAGTAGCAGGACTTGATTATTTAATCCCATTGTCAGCTCTACCTGATCATGGATAAGCTAGATATCCTTGTCTGAGCCTCAGTTTCCTTGTAAAATGGAGGTAATAAAAGGACCTACCTCATACAGCTCTTAAGAGAATTAAAGAGGATAATGAATGTAAAGCACTTAGGAAAGCTCTTGGCACGGTACACTCATAATGAAAAGGAACTATTGTATTGTTAGTTCCCAGTCTCCCTGGAAACCAAAGCTGTGGGCAAGCTGATGCTTGATGAAGATCCTAATGGCCAATCATTGCCTCTCCTCTGCTTGACAAAACACTGAATTCGAAATGTTTCAAGCTAGTGTTCTCAATAAGTTTCAGACCACCTGCATTCAAATCATAGCAAGCAATGATTTAAAATGTGGATCACTGGCTGGGGGTGGTGGCTCATGCCTGTAATCCCAGCACTTTGGGAGGCCAAGGCAGGTGGATCGTTTGAGGTCAGGAGTTCAAGACCAGCTTGGCCAACATGGTGAGACCAAGTCTTTACTAAAAATACAAAAATTAGCCAGGCATGGTGGCGCACACCTATAATCCCAGCTACTCCAGAGGCTGAGGCAGAAGAATTGCTTGAACCTGGGAATTGCCCCCCCAGGCTCCCTCTTAGTAACTCCCCACAATTTTCTTTTCTTCTCTTTTAAAGATGCGAATACTCGCCCTAAAGCTGGAAGTCGCACGCTCCTCTCCCGTCGCACTGACACTTCTCGCATCGCTCACCCTCGTTCTGC